CTCTCTCTCTCTCTCTCTCTCTCTCTCTCTCTCTCTCTCTCTGCCTACTACCCGGGGATCTGAATTTCTCAGTTACTTCTCCAGCTCTGTGACTGTCTGCCTCCCACAATAATGATAACAGACTAAGCATCTAAAATTGCAAGTCCCAGTTAAATGATTCTCCATGGTGGTTTGAATAGAAATGGCCCCCATAGGCTCATATATTTGAATGCTTAGTCATCAGGGAATGGCACTACCTAAGAGATATTAGAAGAATTAGGAGGTGTGTCTTTGTTGGAGGAAGTTTGTCACTAGGGGGTGGGCTTTGGAGTTTCAGAAACCCAAGCCAGGCCCAGTGGCTCTCGCCCACTCTCTGCTGCCTATGGGTCCAGATGTTGGACTCTCAGCTACTTCTCTAGCACCGTGTCTGTCTGCATGCTGCCATGTCACACCATGCTGGAAATGGACTAAACCTCTGAAATATAAGCAAGCCGCCATTCAGTGCTTTCTTTGATAAGCATTGCCATGGTCATGGCATCTCTTCACACCAACAGAATAGTGACTAAGACAAGCAAGGTGACTAAGACAAGATTTTTAAAATGTATAAAGAAGGTTGGACAGATGACTTCACAGTTATGAACATGTAGAACTCTTCCAGAGGATCCTAGTTCAACAATTTAAAGAAGAGTTTGTTGTGGCTCACGGTTTGAGAGCACAGTCCATTACAACAAAAAAAGTCATGGCAACATGACTTATTACTTACTTCCTTACATTATTGAGGTTTCAAAAACCAACACCAGGCCCAGTCTCTCTCTCTCTCTCTCTCTCTCTCTCTCTCTCTCTCTCTCTCTCTCTCTCTCTCCCCCTCCCTCCCCCCTCCCTCCCTCCCTCCTTCTTCTCCTCTCCTCTCCTCTCCTCTCTGCCTATTCCCTGGGAATCAGGATGTATGTAAGGGATGTAAGAAAACTGCATTTAATTCTGCTCAGGATCCCATTCCATGGAATGGTGTCACCCACATTCAGGGTTGCCATGGTGAATCTAAACCCAGTCAAGCCAACAATGAAGATTAGCCATATGATACCCATGTTTATCATAGTTCTCTTTACAACAACCAACAAGAGAATCAGCCTATGGCCCATTAATGAAGTCCTGAAAAAAGAATATATGGTAAGTATACTCAATGGAATATTAAGCACCAATCATCCTTAAAGAAGAGAAAAATCATGTCATTTACAGGAAAATAAAAGTAATTGGAGATTGTAACGTTAAGGGAAATAAACCATAGTTCCCCTATATCAATAAACCATATAACTATCCCATGTTTTCCTCATATGTGTAATATAGACAATAAAAGGCAACAAAACAAAAGGAGACAGTGATAAATGAATGGATCAACAGCTAAGAGCACTGATAGCTCTTCCAAAAGACCTGGATTCAATTCACAGCACCAATGATAGCTCACAACTGTTTGTAACTCTATTGCCAGGAGATCTGATGCCCATTTGTGGCCTCCACAGGCACCAAGCATGCATGTGACGCACAGACAAACATGCAGACAAAACACGATGCACATAAAATAAATAATACAGTTTTAAAATTTAAAGTGGAATGAGCTACTAGGGGACCAGAAGAGAGAACCAGTGAGACAAGATGAAGGGTTGGCAATGAAGACTGTGTGATCAAAATAGACTATAACAACATCACAGTGAAACCCATTATTTTATATAGTTATTATAAATCAATAATAAAGAATATGTAGTTAAAAATAATAACCAAATTCAAAGATTAAAGTAAAAATGAGCAAAAAGACTAATGTCTATGATGTATCGGTATCCTTTATAATACTGCACAAACCCCATACATACATAGTCCAAAGGGATATAAGTGGACAAAATTGATGAGCATACAAATGGAAGAGAATAACAGACTAACAACATATAAGAAAAGCCTAAGTCTGCTAATAGTGAGGAAAACACAAATTAAAGGGAGTGTGGTCCCATTCTTTATCCATGATCTCTGGAGAGCTGTAGAATGTGTTTCTGACACACATTCAGAGGAAAGTGTGATTCTGTGCATTGCTAAAGTTTGCAGCATTTCAGCCCTAAGGAAAACAACTTCTCAAGCTATTAAAACTAAGGCTGTATATAGTCCATAACTCAGCAATTGTGCCCCTGGGAATCCGTCTCATAGATATGAAAGATAGTTTGTGAAAACACACTTGTAGAGATGTTTATTGCAACATTAATCAAAAGAGCTTAGGCATGGAAACAAAATGCCTGTTGTTAATAAATGGCCGAGCAGCATCACCCGACAGGCTTTTATATAAGCATTATAAATAACAAGGCCATACGTCACATAATTCACATGATTAAAGGAGGTATTATTGAGTCAAACAGCAAGAAGCAGTAAGTTAATATGAAATAATATTTGTGGAGAGGAACATAGAGGGGCAAAGATGCCCTTATTTAGAAATGCTATATATTTGAAGAATACGGTGTTATGTGAGTACAAATAAACTATAAATTGATTCATTGGCCATCTTTATAGGATTGGCTGGGCTAACTTGTACCATTGTTACCTGTTCTCCATGAGATGGGTGGAAAAACTGATGTAAGGGATGTAGGAGAGAGACGAGAGAGAAATCTAAGCCCAGGAAGTAAAGAGAAGAAAATACATTGCTGTTTTAGGATCTATGAATTGTCATATTTGTATGAAACCATATTACAGAGGTAAGTTTTTAAAAATATATAAAACTCCTTACTGAATATCATGCATTCCTAAAAGTTGAGGCAAATACACCATATCCATACTTGGCTATAAAATGGTAAATAAAAATATAAACCTGACTGGAGAGATTGCTCAGAGGTTAAAGCAGTTGCCACACAAATATGAGGGCCCAAGATCAGATCCTCAAAACCCACATAAACACAGGGTGGTTGTGGCAGCCCAGCCTGTAATTCCTACACCAAGAAAACGGAGACACAGGATCCCTGGGGTGGCAGGGCAGCCAAACTCATCTCGTCCATGAGCTCCAGGTTCAAACGAGCAACATGGGAGGGCAATTGAGCAAGACTTCAGCCTTTATATACATACACATATTCATGTACACACATATGCATGCCCACACATAAACACATATCCACATAAACATGAAGAAGAATGTCTATAGAAACCGTAATGAAGGAGAAGGGGGTGAAGACTCAAATATAAACTGATCATAATTTATTATGTTACTAGCTAACACTCTGTTTATAACAAAAATTTAAAAACTGTTTAAAATATTTTTATAGGAATTTTACTGACATGTTTCATGAAAGAAAATGAGACATAAAGTTCCCCAAAGTAGGTTAAATCTCTGAAGAAATCATTAATAAATGAGCTTACAAAGCAAAAGAGAAATGGCATTAGTGGCACCAATTTTAACATGCATGATTTATAGTCCATTCACAATGATTAAATTAGAATGGTAATTACAAATTTCAATATTAAGATTTAGGTCGAGACAGGCTCAGGCTTAATCAAAAAAATTATATTCAGCCTTTCTGTGTCTGAGTTAATTGATATTTTTAATGGAGATGCCACTTGCCACATAAGATATTATAGTAATAAAATTCTGAACAAACTCAAGCTACAGAATTCTTAATCTTCACAGTCCTGTGTGTTTGGCTACAGAAGACAGTTTGAAAAGATAATGGTACTGAAAATGAAATCTGAGCTTTGCAAAGAGCAAAGTACTGTGGGAAGTGAACCAATGGGACAGAAGTTCTCGAGGGACGAAACTGAACAGTGAGTGGGAGCTGGAACCCACAGTTCATACCTATAAAGATGGTGGCATTGATAATAGCAGTGTAACAATAATACAGTGGAACCCACAGTGTACACTTACAAAGATTTTGGCGTTGTAATAGTAGTGTAACAATAATATAGTTCAGCCCTCAAAATTTGCTTTCAACTCTTCCATGTTTCAAATATCCTTGCTGTTCTAGCTGTCCATACCTCTAGACTGTACTGACTTAGCAGTAGGTGTTACAAAACAAAAGAGATGAAGACAAACATCTTTGCTGCTGTTCTGTCATGGGACAAGTAAGTGTTCGCTCATCTCACTTATAAGACCCAAAACTGAAGTCATAATAACACAATAGAGATGAGATGTCATTCATTAGATGACGAAAATTTCCTTGTGTCTGATAATTTCCTGAATTTGCTCACTGTCGCCTCAAAATGCAAACAAGAAATCTTTTTTAAAGCAGCATTATGATTTGTATGTTAACAAATAGAGAAGAAAAACAGCATTACTTGAAGCCAGGCTCTTTGACCACGGAATAAGTTTGTTCTTGAATCCAGAGCATTTGCTGAACCTCCCTGGAGACAAATACGCAGAGGGTATCCTGACTTTTCTCTGGAGAGTGGGCAGGGAGGAGACTTCAAATGTCACTGAACTTCCTTGCTGTGAGTTTCCAGTAGGGAGTCACTGCTTTGGGGAGATTCATATTCCAACACATCAATAACCCTCCTGATGGAAACCTGCATCGACCAAGTAGAATGGCACCTATTCAAACTCAAGTCCATTTTCCCCACCACCTTTTGCAAAACTAGATTTTATCCTGACCTTGGAAAACTTGAGGTAAGGAATAAAACTCAAACGGACATTTTTTTGCCAATAAAGCATTCCAGTTACTCCTAGTCAACACACTGTTAGCATTTGGTTAACTATGCTCAATCAAGCATAAACTCTCCCTGAGTTGGGACCATCTAGGAAAATGGGATGATCTATCCCCACCCCTTCAGGAAGAGTCTAATCAAGTTTATGGCCATAGAGGCATCTGGTTTGATGGGAAAAAAAGAGACAAAAAATCTGTCTTGACTGATACCACTTACCACTACTGGATTCTTCTGTAGACCTACCTCATTGGCTCATTTATCTTTCTTCCTTTGGTGGTAATAAAAGTTCTTCTGATTGGTTACTTTCTCCTTTGATCCTGGAGCATCTAGCATATAGCTCGAGTTACCATTCTCTGTTCTTCCTCTCTCTTTTCTGCTTCTTGAGTGGGATAAATATAATCCCACAGCTGGAAGAAAGAAACACTCATGCACAAGCACAGAGAGAGAGAGAGAGAGAGAGAGAGAGAGAGAGAGAGAGAGAGAGAGAGAGAGAGAAGCTCACCAGGAACCAGGAACACCCCTCAGTCTTGGGGAGAGGATAAAAGACTTACCCTGCCCTCTCCATCAGGACAAGAACAGCTCTCCTACTGGGAACCAACCCAACATCCAACCTCCTAACTCATCGGTAACCTTAGTGGAGAGAGTAAACATGCAACTTCAGTATGGCAGCTTCATATTTACTGCTAGAATGTGGTGTCTATCATTTGATTCCATTTGAACAGCTTATGTTTGTACTTGAATAAGCAAATATCTCCTCTAAATGTTATTTAGTACCTGCTGTGTTTTAATGTTCCTCTATAAAGTAGTGTGTGTTTTGAAAGTTGGTTTGAGATTTTTGGTGGTGGTGGTGGTCTAAGCTTCCAATGAGACTGATACATTTTTAATATTATACTAACCATTTTGCTATAAAATGGCAATAATCATTTTGGCAATTAATTTAACCTGTTGTGATATTTCATTTGTATTTCAATAAATAGAACTTTCCTGATGATCAAGGAGTAAAACAGCCCGACTGGTCAGCCTTACAGACCAGGCAGTGTTAACACACACCTTTAATCCCAGTAGCCATACCAGTTGCCATAGAAACCAGCTGGTGCATGCCTTTAATCTCAGTAGGGCACACTTTTAATCCCAGTCCTAGAGAGAAGTACAAGACAGGAGGAGACAGCTCGCAAACACAGTTTCATTCTGAGATTCCTGGAGGCAGGATCACCATTTAAGACTGAGATGGAGGTAAGAGCCAGTGGCTGACTGCTTTGTTTTTCTGGTCTTCAGGCTGAACCCCAATTTCCGTCTCCTTTATTATTCGTGCTTCATTAACCCCCTCTAATAAGGCCAGTGGCCACTTATAATTGTTTTCCCTGGGCACCAAAGTCCTTTACCCACCTGATGGCTGGCAGTAAACAGGGGTTGGGGTGCTGCAACGGTCAGTCTGGTAGCCTGACAAATATTGGAAGCAGTACAGAAAATGGAACAGAAACCAGCAATGTTCTGTATATTTGGACTAAGTAGTCTATGTATTTTGTGATTCATTTGTTTTCAGCAAGTAAAAGAGGAGGGAATGACAGAGAACTGTAGTATCTGGAGAAAACTGAGGAGCTGCCATGGCTAGAAATTGAGAATCCAGAAGAAGAGACGCAAGATGAACTACCAACCCCACCCAGTTTTTCACCCTCAAAGCCTTTCCCTGGGCACTCATTGGCCCATTTCATTATCTTGAAGTACCACCAAGCATCCTAGACTCCAAAGACCTCTCTTCCTGTCTCTTAAATTCTTTGGAGATCTGGGCTGCCTTGGAATAGTAGACTCCTTCCTCTCATTGCATACATTTGAGCAAGTGGAATTAACCAAAGGCAAGGATTATTTATCTCAAATGCTTTTCCTAATACCAAATTCATCTTGATTATTTTTAGAACTCAATCCCCACTGGAAAATGCCCCTCCTCCCTGACCTGTGGAAACTGGAAAGTAGTCAGAAAATTACATTTGTGCTGTTAGAATTAAAATTCTAGTACTGAGTGTACACTCTAAACCAATTCAAAGTTCCTGGAATGAAACCAGGCAGGTGTGTGTGTGTGTGTGTGTGTGTGTGTGTGTGTGTGTGTGTGTGTGTGATTTCTCAAGTGATTCCAATATGGAACCAGGCTAAAGAACTGGTACTGCAGAGGAAATGACACTGAATTTTGGCAGAAATAAGGAAGGACAAACAGGGAAATCCTTCCCTAGGAATGGGAAACCAGTGTATAGCACTTTCAAATATCTAAATAAAAACCAATTTTATTAAATAAAAATTTAGTTACTTACTTTAGAACATCACCTTTAATTTTTATTTAGAAAAAGAAAACAAACTTTTTCCATTGTACATACCAATCCACGTTCCCTCTCCCTTGCCTCCTCCCATTCCCTCCACACACTCTCCCACCCCAATCTAATCCTCAGAGATGGTAAGGCACATTGCGGGGAAGGTCCAAGGCCCTCCCTACTATTTCTAGGCTGAGCAAAGTATCATCTAAAGAGAATTCCCAAAAAGCCAGTACATGCAGTAGGGATAAATTCCGGTGGCACGGCCAGCAGCCCCCCAGTCTGCCCCAGCCATACAACTGTCAACCACATTCAGAGGTTCCTTGCAAAGAACAACTATTTAAAATATTTTCATTATTATTCATTAACAAGGGCTACTTTTATATTAATATAATTATCCAAGTTTCCTAATGCATACCCCTGCTTTCTGAATCACTGATATTCTTAGCATGCCATTCCTACCATGCTGTGATCTCCTTATTTTAGAAATGCCCAGTTACATGTAGAATGAAGCTTTTCTTCTTACCCAATCTAGCTTCCCCCACAATTGTTATTCTCACTTCTCTCTTGCTTGCGGATGCCATGTTTATTCTGTCCATCTCTGCTTCTGAAGCCTTTTCCATACAGAATACCACACAACATTCTTCTCATTTTACTCACACACACACACATTCAAGAATAGGTAGATGAGTAGATCCAGATAGATAGATAGGTAGGTAGATACATAGGAAGGTAGGTAGGTAGGTAGGTAGGTAGGTAGGTAGGTAGGTAGGTAGGTAAGTGGGTGGATGGATGGATGGATGGATGGATGGATGGATGGATGGATAATAGAAGACAGATGATGATTAGATAGATAGATAGATAGATAGATAGATAGATAGATAGATAGATAGATTCAAGAATAGGTAGATGAGTAGATCCAGATAGATAGATAGATAGATAGATAGATAGATAGATAGATAGATAGATACATAGGAAGGTAGGTAGGTAGGTAGGTAGGTAGGTAGGTAGGTAGGTAAGTGGGTGGGTGGATGGATGGATGGATGGATGGATAATAGAAGACAGATGATGATTAGATGATAGATAGATAGATAGATAGATAGATAGACAGATAGATAGATGGATAGATGGATGATGGGTGATATAAGACAGATGATCAGATAGATAGATGATAGATAGATAGATAGATAGATAGATAGATAGATAGATAGATAGATGATCAGATAGATAGATAGATAGATAGATAGATAGATAGATAGATAGATGATAGATAGATAGATAGATAGATAGATAGATAGATAGATAGATTCCTAATATATGCATTGCATTAAGAGTTTGGTTATTTAAGAGTAAAAAGGACCTAAAGTTAGATTATCTTTCCCCTCATTTCTTATTCAAGTTAATACATCATGCAAATTTTCAAAAGGAGGAATATGGAAAGAAGCATGTTCCTATATTTAAAATAAGATTCCATAATTATGGAATAATCTGAGGTAACAAAATATATGTAATTAATTCAACTGAAATAGGCATCTTGTGCAAGTTACAAAAACCAAACCTACAAGCATTCCCTATGAAAAATTTAAACAAAAACTTTAATTTTAAAAATACTCAGTCCCGTCATAAAAGAAATTTTTATCTACAAAATTATAATAGCCAATTATGCTTACAATTATGGAGTTCCAGGTGTATGTGTATTTTATCAGTTGGAACGTGTTTGCAGAATGGATTTAGAGGGAATTTGGTATTAAGTTTTCATATTACACCAGTATTTCCACTTTGGGAAATATATTATAAGAAAACAACTCTGAATCTGAGACAAAATATCTTTATAACTAGTTCTTTCTGGCAATATCTATCATTGGAAAATGTAAGCAATTTATTAACTGTGAGTAAAGAAGACCCAAGGGCCACATGTGATTTGAGAGTGGATAGGGATGACGCTGGAATGGGTAGAGAGACAAATGAGGGAAAGAAACAACAGAAACAAACATCGTCTGAAAATGCCATATGAAACTTAAACCCACAAAAATTAATTCATTAATTAAAAAAAACAAAATAAACAAAATCATCTTATATCCTCAGCTATTTAAGAAAAAAAGAATTATTTATGGCATGTATGCCTTCCCACTATCAGGCAATCAGTAAAATTAATGTTTAAATGACTGTTATAACATGAAATATTAAGCCACAATGAAGAATGGCGTGCTGATTCATATAACATGGATGAACCCTGAGACATTATGCTAAGTCAAAGAAAGGAAGATCTGGGAGATGATTCAGAGGTTAAGGTCGCTCTGCACCATGGAGACAGGCACAATCCACCATTCACCTCTGACGCCCGTACTGAAGCAGTAGACAGACATGAAGGCTTTCTGATAGTCAGCAAACCAAAAACTAGGAGGTTCAGGCTCACTGAGAGATGCTCCCTCAAAGGGACAGGGAAGAGTAACAGAGGAGGGAATCCAATGGCCTCTTGCCTCTTCTGGCTTTGCACAGACACATGCGAACATACACAAACACATACACAAATACATATAGAAAGAGGCCATACAATTTTTAAAAGCACATGTTTTATGATTCCAGGCCACACAAAGAGAAAACAGCTTGATTGCTGTAGAGCAAGAGAAATGGCTGCTGCTAATAAGTATAATGTTTATCAATAATAACCGATTCCATCAAAGTGTGTTCATATAAAGGGTGGATTTTATATGATATGTTTGATAAAGTATTTTAATTATTTGTATTATGCCAATATTGACTGGACTTACATAAAACTGAGAAAAAGAAGAAAAATATATAAGCATTATATAAAAATCTTCTAAGTGTAAACAAAATGGAAAAAAAAACTTTTTAAATAACTGCTGCACCCTTAACCTCACACCTGTACACTGTGATTTCTGAGAAACTGTACACAGTTAGTGAGCCAGAGAAATCCTATCCTCTGTTGGTTACTAATGCCTGCACAGATCACTCTTCAAATGGAATGGTAGAAATCCGGAAGTGGCGGATTGTACTCCCTGATTGTATCTATTTAAAGGAAAAAAAAAAGATCAGATACAGAGGGAGAGGGAGGGGGAGGAAAATGGGAGGTGGGGAGGAGGTAG